AGCTCGAGAGCCTCCAATTTTTCCCAATTTCTTTAGCAGGTGGGTTCGAACTGTCTCGAAGGAAACTAGTCTTTGGCCTGCTCTTAAAACTTGAAACTGTTGCGATCAGCCTACTGACAGGTGATATCGGGTGAGGCACTAGCGGGTAGGAGCTTGCAGTGCACAACTTCTCCAGTAATACAGCTAAAATTAAGAAAAGTATGGCTTTTGCGTGACTGAGTTGCCGGTTGTAAGACTCCTTCCAAATCGTTGAAACTCTACTGGCGCTTGTAGGACTGTTTAGCACACACTACCCCCCTTGTCCTCACCGGCGGCCGTGCAAGATAGTCGATCAAGGTAGTGACGGGGGACCAAAGAAAAATGAGGAACTTCGGGTTTAATTTGATGCGCGTTTGGAATCCAAACAAATTTTCAAATCTCTCTGTTGCACTGGAGATGTCTCATCTTGCCGAATAAGATATGCTCTATCAAATGAGGCTAGCCTGTTCAGATTCCTTCTCAAACAGCGTCATGAAGAGCCTCGAAACTGGAGGCCATGGGTTGGGTGGAGTGAGGGTATTTTTTTGGTAAGGAAAGCCAAAACTGACTACAGGGTGGCCACAAATTACGGTAACAAGAGTAGTTGCAGACATGTTTAAAACCAAACTGAGATAATTTCGACTGTAGGCTATAGAGCACCGGGAAAATCTCTCAAGAAGAAGGTGCACGAGCGCGGAAAGATCCAATTTCTAGATTCCTGCCTGATATGATTCCCCCTTTCTACTAACACGCCGCGGTGGCTGCGTTGCACAGACTACTTTGCCCCTTTGTCCATGTCAACATCGGCCAACTCAAGAAGGAATCCTGTGTTTTGTTTCCTAGTCCAATTATTATAGCTTCTTCAATTATTATAGCTATGTTTTTCGTTTGTCATTTACATTCTGCGCAGATTTTCTGTGATCACTTTATCTTGTTACCGTAATATGTGGCCACCCTATAGAATGTAAGAGGTTCGAGAGAGCGTGCCCTCTCCCATCATGGGGCAAAACCTTTGCTCAACCTGGCCTTGGAAAAACCTGATAGGATTTCGTAAAAAAATGAAAAAAGAAGACGGAGAAAAAATAAAAAAGTTAAAGCCTTATCGGCACTGCCGCAGTGAAATGTCTTGCAGGGCTCAAGAAATAAGCTAATTTAGCAAGCTTCTGTTCGCGATTAGAACATTCTTCTGAACTCCGGCTTTGCTGGAGGGTCCACAGTGACTTCGCTGGAGTCGTCGAGTTTTTCTCTGTCAATCGTAGACTGACAGTTAGATCGTTGACTCGTTCTTCGCTCCTGTGGTTCAGATGAGCATCGGGATTTCAATCAGTAAATTAATTTTCTTCGCCGCATTAATGCACTATAGCAGAGAATTTTCTGATGACGCCTACTACGTTAATTACACTGGAGATAAACTTCACTTAATCACTCTCAAAGAGCACTGAAAGGGCAGGGCAATCACAAGGGCTCTCTATGAAGGAAACTTCCTCTCATGTGATCGAATACTTCCCGTTTTTCACACGAAACCATGTCATTCAGAACCAATCGCTATCGCCCGATGAAGCGCTTCAGTCGGGTTCGACTGAGCTCGATATGTCTGAAGAACTCATAAAATTTGCCAGGAGTTCGTCAATTGGGCAAACAAAAGGTGGCCCAAGAAAGAGTGGCTATTTTCAGGAAGAGGTGTTCCAGACCAAACTGCTTTGTCTGGACTGACTCTGGAACGCTGAGTGTGACGCAAGTGACGGGCGCTGTTACAACTGGCAAGTCCGCTAGGAGGACAGGTCATACTAGCCCTCAATCAGTACTCGATTTCCCCTCCTCTCACAACACACCACCTCTCTTTGTGATCCTCGTGAGTGTTTTGCAGACATCAATGTCTGAACTCGAGGTGTGTTATTGATTTATTTATTATTATTTTTTGACTGTACCATTTCCAGTGACTTCCAATTAATGAATAGAGAGCGTTAGAAAATCTCTCATCTGTTGACTACTCATTCCATTACAGTAACTGTGTTTTGTAGTCATTCACCCTATGGGGAGCGTTACCGCTGGAATTGCGATACTTCATCATGCTGTTTGTCGACATTGACACACAAGAAACATGTATTTTGACAAATAGAGAAACGCGGTAATTTATATTTTACTACAGATAATTACGAGTTAAAATATATAATCATTTTCCCGACTTTTATCACCCAGTATTATGCTCAATTATGATGTCTGTTTCTGTGTTCTGCTAATAATACTCTCGGCGCCTGTTCTCTGCAGCACAAATTTGCAAAATGACAGAAATCTGCAGAACATTTTTGGATATCAAATGAAGCCCCAGTATTGTGCAGTAGATAAATTGTTGACCTATACTAAACCAATCATTGTCAAGATTGATGAGGTGAAACAGGAAAAATATTTTCAGTCTGTTGACGATCGCAGTACGAAAATCGCGTAAAGAGATTGTTGTCAAGCGAATCATCAATAAACAGCAGGTGAGCGCTCGGTTGTGTGATTTCGTCAATCGAATTGTCTCTACAGAGTTATTTCAAGCGTATAAGAGTTATTTCACGGGATAGCTTTGTGAGATTGGTATTGCACGGATTGCGCTAATCTAGGCGATTATCTACTTTGACGTTATGCAGAAGTCTCACATATGACCTTTGTTTTCATCACGTGAACGATCATCATCACCGCGAGCTCACGTGAGCCATATGCACGTTTCCTCGTCGGGAAGGAGTTAGGCTAGATAGAATTTGATCGAACCATATGAATTTCTTTGAGTTCTGCAAGCTTAAAGGCAAACCCCGGGATTAGCCCGACTTGTGGAAGGATACCTGCGAGGAGAAATTGTAAGGCTCGTACCCACCTAGATCACTCCAGCTTCGTCGCAAAATTGCGCGTTAGGGCGCTAATCCTTACGGGCCTGCAACCATCGACCCCGTTGCAACGA